AATTTATGCTTTCTACTTCTCAGTCATTTATTAATCAAATATACTTATCATTTCTTTTCCCCTTTTCTTTTCCCAAAACTTGTTGCAGTGAGGAGAGAAATCAAAATTTTAAGATTATTCATGCATCCTCACATTATACGACTTTATGAAGTCATAGAAACTCCATCTGACATATATGTTGTTATGGAGTATGTGAAATCTGGAGAGCTCTTTGATTACATAGTAGAGAAGGGTAGGTTGCAGGAAGATGAAGCTCGTAATTTTTTTCAACAGGTAGGATTGTTTACTATTTTGTGCAGTTGAGAAGACAACTTTGTCACACATTATTCAAGCTAATTTCTGATTTTGGAAGCAGATAATCTCTGGTGTGGAGTACTGTCACAGGAATATGGTGGTTCATAGAGATTTGAAGCCTGAGAATTTACTTTTGGACTCCAAATGTAATGTCAAGATTGCTGATTTTGGCTTGAGCAACATCATGCGTGATGGTCACTTTCTCAAAACCAGTTGTGGAAGCCCTAACTATGCAGCTCCTGAGGTTTGAAATTCTTTTTGTAATGAAATACACAATGATGATGATTATTGTTTTTATTGTTGTTGAGGAATGTGTGCATGTGTGGTGTGTTTATATTGTATCTTGTGATTTGTATTTCTTGGTTGCTAACTTGGTGATTTTTCATAGGTTATCTCCGGGAAATTGTATGCTGGACCTGAAGTGGATGTCTGGAGCTGTGGTGTAATTTTATATGCTCTTCTTTGTGGCACTCTTCCTTTTGATGATGAAAACATTCCAAATCTCTTCAAGAAAATAAAGGTATTATTGATATTAATTTTATTTAGTTAATCAATATTATTGATTAATATTAAATAAATAGGTGTTTCCTGCTTTCTCTTCCTTATTTTTGTTTTTAGTGTGAAAACTACCCAGGCCTTGGATATGTGGCTAACATTCTATGTGTTCAGTTCCTGCTTCTTTTCATGTTTATTTCTGCTATGTGCATTTTCTTTGTCCTTTGCCCATTTTTTAATCATTTTAATCTTCTGAAACTTTGCAAATGCAAAGGTTGTATTTTTGAGTTATTTATGTTAATGCAACCGTAGGAGTGTTTGAATTAAACATTGGTTGTTTTTAATTCATATTAGTATAATTTATATAGTAATTGATCTTTTAGAATCAGATAATCCAAAGCAAATTTATTCTTTAAAAGATATCATAACCCGAGATTTTTGACCTCATATTGTTTCATGTAGGGTGGGATATACACCCTTCCCAGTCATCTATCACCTAGTGCTAGGGATTTGATACCAGGGATGCTTGTGGTTGATCCTATGAGGAGAATGACCATACCTGAGATACGTCAACACCCATGGTTCCAAGCTCGTCTTCCACGTTATTTGGCCGTGCCCCCACCAGATACACTGCAACAGGCCAAAAAGGTTTATTTTTATATCTTTATTTGTCATTCTCTTTCCATCTCCATTCTCTTTATATAGTTGAGAATACTACTTTTGAAGTGAAAATGACTGGTTGGAAACCTTGAGTGACTTCACAAGTCTTAAGGGTTTTGGTATCTTTTCAGCTACTTTCTGTTTTCAAACTTTTGCACTTCACATTCATACACATTGGAAATTCTCGTGTGTGTATTAGTTGATGTATTATAATTGGTCCAAATGATATCATGGTTTTGTAGATTGATGAGGAGATTCTTCAGGAAGTGGTGAAGATGGGATTTGACAGGAATCAATTGATTGAATCCCTTCGGAACAGGATACAAAATGAGGTTTGTGCCCATGTCTTTCTCCTTCTACGTTTGCCAGATTATCTCTTACTACCATCCATATATTTCAGGGTACTGTAGCATACTATTTGTTATTGGACAATCGATTCCGTGTTTCCAGTGGTTATCTTGGAGCTGAGTTTCAGGAGTCCATGGTGGGTTTCTTTAAGCTCCCGCCCTCTTTTTAATATTTCATAAGTAGTTGGTCTCTATTTTCTGATTAAGTCATTTAGCTTGATAATGATTCAGAAACAAGATATTATCCCTATGCAAACTGGGCTATATGCTTGCTTGTGATATGTATTAGTATATGTTTGGCACCTGTGTTATGTTGGTGCAAGCCAAGATGAAGGGAATGGACAGCAGAAAATTGGGTAATTGGATACTCCAACCGAAGGTTGCATTGGAAATGTGAGGAAAGGGGTGAAGTGAAGGGGGAGAGCTTTGTAAAGAGCTTTTTAACAAGGTGGGAAAGGGGGAGGGAAGAGTTGGGATTTTATAAAATGTAAAGGGTGTAGCGGAAGGGGAGGGGCAGGGTGAACTTAGGGTGGGAAACCAGCTCCTCAGTGAGCTACTCTGGTCCTGGGTTTGGTTCCTGTAATACGATTTTCATGACACTGATCTCAGCGTTTTCTGTAATTTAAGTGAGGTTTCTATCATTTTAACCTTGACATTAACTATGTCTTTCTAGCCTGAGTTTGGTTCTTTGTGGATTTATAATAATGGAACCGTACGTTACTTGATATTATATTTTTTAGTTGTTTCCATTTAAAAGTGAATCCTATGCAAAGCTCATTAGTTTTGGGTTTATATTGTTTTTTGCTAGGATTCCAGTTTTAACCAAATGCATTCCAGTGAAGTTGCTTCTTCAGTTGTTGGACAACGCTTTCCAGGCTATATGGATTATCCAGGAGTAGGATCGAGGCCACAGTTCCCTGTTGAAAGGAAATGGGCCCTTGGTCTTCAGGTACGACAGTATCACCCATGGTGATGTTGCTGTTTGAGAGGAATTTGTTGGATGTCACTGTTTAACTTGTCTGTGTTGTATTTTATACAATTTATTTCCTCTCTGGATATATTGCAGTTGTGAAGAACTAACAAGTGTTTATAATTTATATCTAACGGTGTCTGATTTTTTGTAGTAGTTGCCATCTTAAAAAATGTAGTTTGATGTCGTGTTGGTAGTTACTTTTGTTCATTATCTTGTGACAGTCTCGCGCCCATCCTCGAGAAATAATGACAGAGGTCCTTAAAGCTTTGCAAGAGTTAAATGTTTGTTGGAAGAAAATTGGACACTACAACATGAAGTGCAGGTGGGTTGCTGCCATTCCTGGTCATCAAGATGGAATGGTTAACAGTAATGTGCACAGTAACAACCATTACTTTGGAGATGATTCCAACATTATTGAGAACGATGCTGTTTCTACCGCAAACGTGGTCAAATTTGAAGTTCAGGTAATTTAGCTTAGAACCATAATGTTTCACATAATGTGATTTAAAAAAAAAATCTTCTATGGCATCTGTAATGACGGATTTGCTCTGATAGTCGGATGATTAGTCTCCCTTGCTAAATTAAGGCCAAAGATGAACCGCAAAAATAGAAAAACCGAAAGAGTCATCTTTTTATTTTCCTTCCCTCGATGTTTAAATCATTGCTGTTTTTTGGCAGTGTTATACTCATTGGGGACGGAGATTGTCTTTTTAATTACAACTAATTCATCTCTTGTATTATTCCAGAGTATTCTCTAATTCTTACGTTCACTTTCACAGCTTTACAAAACTCGGGAAGAAAAGTATCTGCTTGATCTTCAAAGGGTGCAGGGTCCACAGTTTCTTTTCTTGGATCTGTGTGCTGCCTTCCTTGCACAGCTTCGCGTCCTCTAGAACAAAGAGCTTAGGATCACAAGAGACTTAAATAAGCCTTGTGTTTTATGTGAATAAGCTTTCATTGTACATATAAGTATCTTTTCTGTCCGAGCGTATCCTCTGATACCCGTTTTTCTATGGGTAAACATTATAAGGAGTCAATCCTAAATATGGGATTTGCTTCGTTAACAATGGTGTTCGACTAGTTGTTCCTATCTCTTGGTCATTTAATTTCATGGGAAAAGCTAAATAGCCCCTGACTGACACTATGTGTATGGTTTTCAACCAAGTGCTGTAAATGACTGTTGCTATCTGGAAGGGATGCCTAGGCTGCCTATAACTTTTGCAGATTAGCCTTGTTTTCTTATAAATCTAATTTCACATTACACCCTTGTATGAATGCAACCTCCTATCAGACTGGTACTGAGAATTTAAATTTTCCATTATCACTGTGCGCTAGCATTTTGAAGGATTTTACTTGTCCGAGATCTTTTGGATTGATTGATTCATAATATTTTCAGATTTTATAATTTTGGATAATATTGTGGATCACGATATCTGAAGTAAAAGAATTGGGTATTGTGTAATTTAGAACTTTTTTTATTCAGATAATTAGGAAAAGACTTGGTTATGCAATTCGCAATTACTTTTTATATTTTAGTTCCACAATTTAGATTGGTTAAAAATTCGAAAATGGATTCGGGATCTTACAAACGTTGGAACCTTAGCTATACTTAATTTTATATAACATGCCTGGTAAGAAGAATATATTCATCCAAAAAGAAATGAAACAGTAGTATTAGGAGGAGGATGAATGCCTTCGTGGCAAATTAATTTTTAATTTATATCACTCAGGGTCATAAGCTTCATATTATGTTACAAGTTTCTATAAAATTCAAAATTTAAATTTATTACCCTAAAATTATATAAGTCGAACTGAAAACACTAGAAGACATGTCTCTCTTACACCACATGCATGCAACTTCCTTCAAGTTAAAAATCAAATAGCCGATTAGCCAATCCGAAAGTAAAAATTTGATTTAAAAAATGGTTTACAGATTACTCAATATAAAAATATTATTAAGTTACATAATTTGAAATTCTTTTGATCAGATTGTGCAATTTACAACATATCCTCTTCTAGCCATAGATTATACCATCTTAAAGGCTCGACATCTCTACTTTCATGGTTCTTATAAAATGGAAAGGGCACACTATTCATTTTCTAAAATTGATCAAGTGCAGGAAAAAAATCATAAATAATGGGATGCAGGAAGAAAACACCATTTTGAAAGATATGTAGCCCACTTGTTTGCTATAAAATATTTTCATTTCATAAATCCGATTTTACCGTACATGTTACATAGCATATTTCATTGTTACATAAATGAATGGTAGCTAGTTAACACCACAAACAGTAGGAAGATCAAGTGCATTCCATAGTAACAGTTCATCATCAATACTGGATGAAAAAGAGGGTGAAGAGCAATCCATGCCAACTGATGTTTGTGGCTCTTTCCCATCCATCGCTTCTATGTGTTCTTCATTCTTCTCAATAGCCTCAATTTTGTTTTTGCTGCAAGCCATCTTGAGGTTGGTTAGTTCATTAGAAATACAAACCCCACTTCTATTTTTGTTTACTGATTCAACTTTCAACTTCAAGCATTCAGGTATTCCATTGAAGGCATAGAGGGAAGCTGAAAACTTCCTCTCATATTTCATTCTCTTCAAGACTTCTCTAAACATTGAAGGCTCATCACCACAGTTTTCAGCCTCCAGCTGCTCCTCAATCTCTTCAGTGATCTCAAAAAGTGAATAATGATAACTAGATGGAACAACATTGTCCAGGAACTGAAAATCCTGACCACTCAAATCAGTTCCTTCTTCACTGTCTTCCTCTCTTTCCCCTCCTGAATTTACATCAGCACTTGATGTTTGTGTCACACTGTTGAAGTCAAATTCCATTACCATTTCTTTTTCGTTTTCCCTGCAATCATCATTCTCATTCAAACATGATTCAAGACTATTTGTGATGCAATCCGTTTGTGCACTGTCATTACTAAACTCATTGTTGTTTGTGCTGTAATCTTCAGGGTCATTAAGGAAATCTGAGAATTGGTCCAATGTGAAATATGTTGACTCAGTTCCACGTACATCTTCTTGTTGGCTTTGTTGCTGGTTGATTAAAAGAGATGTGGAGGAGGAAGATGAAGAAACAGTGCAAGGCTTTGTGCTAGTGTCATTCCTTGCTTTGAGCCTTTGAAGGAGGAGATTGGTAATCTTTGAGGGAAGAGCAGGAGTTGAGGAAGATTGATAACTGGGCCAGAAGTTTGTTCTAGTGTTGGCACCTCGAAGAAGACATGCAGCCTCATCATAGGCTCTTGCAGCTTCCTCAGCTGTATCAAAGGTTCCTAACCACACTCTTATCTTCTGAATTGTATCCTTTATCTCAGCCACCCATCTTCCTGAAGGCCTTTGTCTCACACCAACAAATCTCTTCCTCAATTTCCAGCCACTTCCTAGTGCAGCAGCTTCCTTCATCACCTCATCCCATGCCATGGTTTCATCAGATAAATTTCTCTCTTTAACTTCTTCAGAAGCCTTTCTCTTCCTTGCCATTTTCCTGACAAGTTAAACTGCTTGCCTCCTTGGTTTTCTTATGCTTCTAAGTGGTTCTTTTAAGGTACCGAGCTTGGTTTTGCTGAGAATTTTTGGTGCTTGTTTAGGCTTTTATAAGGAGGGGTAGTGTGGTGAGTGAAACTTTGGAATAGTTCAGTTTTTAGAGGGGAACAGGTCACACACTGATATTGGTTCCATTTGTTTGTTTCTTTATAATTTAGGCTTTATACTGAACATTTGGCAGCTTCTCAGACTTTTTAACTGGTGCAAGCTGGTTGGATATGGATAAAGGGTATTTAGATTTCACTTTCTCTGAACATATATAAGAATTCAAATATGCTATAATGCTAGCTTGAACTGGTCAACACTACATATTAAAACAATATTTGATTTAGTATCTATTTTAAGATTATGATTTTCACGCTGTTCATTTGCTCTTTCTGGCAAACTTTTTAGACATAAAGGAGATTTGAGACATAACTACGCGGCATTTTGTCAAGAAAAGACAGAACAGAAAAGAAAAATCCCAGTGTAGCCAAAATCTATGAACTGAGATGCAGAAACCGTAGGTAGTTGCAGTTGGCGTTCGGATTATATATAGCTTGGAATCAGTTTAGTTATTCAAATGATTTTACATTGTTGTGTCATCAAATTTTGATTGATCAATAATTGTGTCATCTTCTGATGTTATCTGCAAACTTCTTACAAATACATTTATTTTTTTCTTAGTCACTAAACAAATATTCAGGAAGCTGGGTCCCAAAACTTGTCTTAAATTTGATCACAAGATCATTAAACATTATAATGTGTCTTAACAAATATTCATGGTTTGTCTGTCTTAAACAGTTGTAAGGAACAGAATAAATTTAGGAAAAAGTTTGGCCCATTTGGACTTATTTTATGTGTCTTGACTCAGCAAGAATAATAATGGTCTTAACAGAAACTGGCAACAAATATGAAAGTTGACAAGAAAACAAACACAAACACATTAAAATGAATAATGCTTTCGTGAGGCACATTTGGAGGGTATTGTTCTCTACATACATATCAGAGAAAGTTGTCACTGTCATGTTTTTATAAATATAAATATCATGATATTTTGTACTGAAATATATTTATGCCATTCTTCTCATGTTTTATATTTAAAATGTTGATGTGTCACAATTGAGTCTCAACGTAAGTGGATAGTAGTATTGCTTAGCATTTTTTTCAGATATTGAATGTGAAGTTAATATAGGAGTAAAAATTGTATAATTAAAATGGTCGATAAAAAAAGTGTTGTTTAATATTATTATTATTCAAGACTTGAATAAGCTCTTAAGGTGAATTTTGCATTCAATACATAGGATTATTAAGAGATATCTCAAACAATGAATGACACTATGTATAAACAATTTTCGAACACCATATTATTAATTTTAGAATTAAATAATCATAGACAATGGAAAAGAGTTGTTTCCTTACATTATGCAATCGCAAATCACAAACTTATCATGGTGGTTTGCAATTGATTAATGGCATATATAATACTATTCCTGATAATATTTTATACGAAACAACAACAAAAATAGACTAAATTATGTTTTTCAAACCTATAATTATTTTATGCATAAATTAATTTACAAAAACTCTCTCATACTAGTTTTTTCAAAAGTTAATATTTAACTTACACGATAACGAAGAGAGGAAAAAAAATATGCAAAAACTAATATTAGTTAATGAGCAACATTTTTTTTGTTTCCAAGTATTATGTACAAATAAGTTTATCCAAAACGGGTGGCAACAATATTTCATGCAAACAAGAGAACATATGAAACTTACAAAAGGATAATCAAATATAAAATCAAAGTCAGAAGATGAAGGTACATTGTCTTAGCATAACAAACAATCTGTTAAACTCTACAATGTTACTTACAAGTGAAGCCATAAGAAGCTAATTATGAACTTAAACTTTTGAGTTAAGTAGAGGAAGCCAGGGGCTATTACAACACCTTCCTGAATATTTGATTGGCATCAAAGCTGGATCATTATATGCACTGGCCAACTTATCATAAAATTCAGACATGTTAGGGTCATTTTGATCTTCTCTGTCCTTCTTGATCAAACACTGCATGCAGGACACTTAGCTTCATCAGATTGGAAAAAGGCCAAAAGAAAAAAAGGAAACACAACTCACAATTAAAAAAGGATAATCAGCTGTAAGTTACTTCAAAGCAGAAGGAAATGCTATAGTCATATTAGCAACATGTGTTTCTCTACACTGGAAACAGCTCCTCATTGAATAGAAGAGTGAGAATAGGAAGAGGCAGAATCAAAGCAGATGCAGCCCAAATATCCCAATTATAACAAGTCTTTCTGAAAATACACTCTTCATAATGACTTGTTGTGTCTTTACATTGAGTAGTACATGGACTATATATAGGCTCTTTGACATGGCCCATGGCCCTTCAACTACATGCATTAATTATAACTACAACAATTAATTAACTCTATTGCATGCCTTAATCATTACTAAAGCACTCCTAACCTTTGCAATCTCCTAAGACAATTAATATAACAACTTGCAACTACCCATATTTAAGTTTACTTAACAAAATCTCCCTGTAAACTTAAATGTTTCTTTTGTCTTTCATCCTTCTTTCCTACATCCAGACTTTGCCACCTGCATCCCACACCTAGTTTGCACCTTTCCTTAATAGTTGGGTTCTTCATTGTAACCGACTTGTACTAAAGCACTCCTAACCTTTGCAATATCCTAAGACAACTAATATAACAATTTGCAACTACCCACATTTAAGTTTACCCAACAAAATCCCTCGTAAACTTAAATGTTTCTTTTGTCTTTCATCATTCTTTCCTACATCCTAACTTTGCCACGTGCATCCCACACCGAGCTTGCTCCTTTCATTAATAGTTGGGTTCTTCATTGTAACCGACTTGTACTTTGTTTTCATTGTGGCCGACTAGTTCTTTGATTTGATTGACTTCTTCTTAACCTTAGCCAACTTGTCTCTAACTGGGTTCTTTATCGTTTTTGTGGTTGACTCATCATTAACCAAGTTCCTCTCAATAGGTTGAGCTCTTTTTAAGAGATTGAACAATTCCCACACCTTTTTTACACCAAACTCATCATCCATTTCAAGTCACCACTTCTCATCTTGCAGCTCTAAGATCCTTCTTGGCGTGCAACTGCTCTTGCAAACTTAACTTCTTGTTCGAGTTCCAAGTGCCGCTTATGCAAAACCTTCTTTGTTCTCTCTAAGCTTGCCTATAACTCTGCATTGCCTCTAACTTCCTAATTAATTCTTTGTTGCAAAATGCATCTTGCAAGCTTTAACATTTGGACAATGAGCTTATCTTCGTACATGTTCAAGCTATTCGAGCTATACAAATGCACCATTGAGCTATCCAAGCTTCCCACTTGCTCTACCAACTTATCTGAGCTATTTACATGCTCTACCAAACTACCTAGGCACCCCTCTAAGCTTTCTAAGACGTTCACTTGTGCCACCGAACAATCTGGGCACTCCACTTGCTCCACCGACTTAATCAAGCTATGTAGACGCCTCACTAAGTTACCCAAGCTCACCTCATGCTCCATCGAGCTAACCTCATGCTTCACCGAGCTTTCCACATGCTCCACTATGCTCTCCATGACCCTTTTTGGGCTATCTGAGATTTCAACACTCTTTGCCAAGCTTCTAAGCTATCTAGGTATCCCATTAAACTGATCGGGCCATCCGCACATCTCATCGACCTATTCATGCACTAACTTATGATACTTGGTTTTCTTGTTGAATTCTCCACTTGTTTGTGCTTGGCCCCCCAAGCTACATCCCATCATCAACAACACCCACCGGTTCTTCTTCAACTTCTTCGACGAGATTGATTGTCTCTTCTCTTTCATTTTTAGATAGGCAATCTTTTGCAAAATGCCCAACCTAAACTGATTTGCACTCCTTTGCATGATGACCATACTTGTCACACTTGAAACACTCAACCCCTGAGTTGCTTGGCCGACCTCATCTCCATTGACCTTGACCTCGGCCAACCAATTTTGTTGGATGGACTTTTCTTTCTCTTCTTCCTTTCCACAGCTCCTACCACCAGGATCGCTTCTTATACCTCTTTAGTATAGACCTCTCTACCTTAAGTGTTCTGAGCTTCTCCCTTTATTATTGCCTTTGCTTGAAGTACTTGATCGAGAGACTCCTCCGTCTTCTTCCTTCTCTGCAGCTCATATGCCTCAAGCGACCCAACAAGCTCTCCAACCGAGAGCGTTAACAAGTCCTTGGACTTCTCAATAACGTATACAATATTCTCAAAGTTGTCGGTTAACAACCTTAAGATTATCTCTAGCACTCGACAAGTGGGTTTTCCATTCCTTCCAAGATGGTTTACCACGGTCTCAACACGAGAGATGCACTCAGTAACTTCTTTAGCCTCTTTCATCCTCATGCTTTCAAGCTCGCCTATGAGAGTTTGAAGCCTAACCTACTTTACACGATTATCCCCTTTATAAGCCTTCTCCAATATATCCAACACTGCTTTTGAAGATTTAGAATTTGCTATCTTCTCAAAGCCGGACTCATCGACAACTTGGTACAACACGTACATGGCTGCTTTGTTCTTCACTCACGATTCTCTCAATGCAGTAAGTTGGGCAATCGTCTGTTCTTCGATGTCTACCGATTCTTGGTGGCCATTTTCAACTACTTCTCATACTTCCTGAGAACATAGGAGGAACTTCATCTGCAAAATCCAGTTTTCATAGTTGACGCCTTTTGTTAACTTAGGTAGAGGCATACCGTTTGCAAGGTTGGCCATTTTCCAAGCACTTTCTGGTTCTCTTTTTTTTTAACACTCATACACTGAAGCTCTTTAGCTCTGATGCCAATTTGTTGACAACAAGTCTTTCTGAAGATACCCTTTGTATTATGACTTACTATGTCTTTACAATGAGTAGTACATTGACCATTTGTAGGCTCTTTGACATAGCCCTTCAACTTCATACAATAATTATAACTACCACAATTAATGAACTCTATTGCATGCCTTAATCATTACTAGAAGTACTCCTAACCTTTGCAATCTCCTAAGACAATTAATATAACAACTTGCAATTATCCACATTTAAGTTTACCCAGTATGAACTACAAAAGACATTATATGGTGACTTTTATGATGCAAGTGAACAATTAGCAGACAGGTTTTCTGAGTGAATAGAGCGAAGACAATGTTAACAAGGAGAAGCTAAATGCTTATCAGGGCATGCAAAAACTGCAGTAGCAATACTCATAACTTTGTAACTAAACAAGAAAAATGTATAGTAGACAAAGTAATCAACAAAAAAAAGTTAAAATAAATTAGAATGAGTTTTCAACCACCATACTTCCATAGGATAAGACTTGAAAATAGGCAAGAAGCGTTTCCGGCAATACTCATTGAATAGAAGAGTAAAAATAGGAAGAGGCAGAATTAAAGCAGATGCAAGTGGAAGCTGCTTCTGCCCAAATATCCCAATTACTATAATATGCATCAGTATCAATGAAAAAATTGTGTAGTTGTGCACTGTAGGCCAAAACTCTCCTCCAGTATGGTACTTTGCCACATAAACATTTAAGAGCTGTCACAGAAACAAAATTTAAGACATCATTAGAACTTTAGTAATCACATGGGAAACAAATGATTGGCCCTATTTTGCCTCAGGAATCATATCAAGTGAGAGAGAACCAAAACAAAAAGAAGTTAATTTAAGTTAATTGAAGCAAGTATGAGCATTAGATGAAAACATGATCACAATTTTTTTCCAGCCTTTATGCAGTGGTGAATGAAAGGCTTGCTTGATAACACACGCATAGCACCCATAAAATCATTTTCTCATTGAAGAGTCTCTCAATAGAATTCCTTTCTTTTTTATTAATGAACTCAAATAATTAAGAAGTGTTCAAAAAATAATAATTTTAGATAGTTCTATTATAAAATATCTCCTTTTCTCTATTTTGCATTACGACAAAACAAAATGAGCCTTTCATATTGATCTGCTGTGTAGTGTTCACAATGAAGAAGGTAAAATAGAATAGTGTACAGTGACCAAGAATGAAAAAGACCAAAAGACAATCCAGAAACTGTCTAACAATTAAAGCTCAAAAACATCGTGTTCAAAATTGCCAGAGTTAGACCAATTGTGACAAGCTTTTATTGTGACAATTTGATAACACTTATATTTGCATCTCAAATCATTTGCAAAGTGATCACTTTTAATAAGATAATATGCTAGCCATGCTATATTATACAAGAAATAAGGAAGAGAAGAGTATATATGGAAAGAGGAAAACAAAAACAATTTGCAAACCTGGTTGCGATAAATGATGTATCCCAAACAAAAGTAGACTAAGAGAAATGGAAGTATTAGAGGAGCAAGGATGAAATATGTAACACCAAGAAGATCAAAGAAAAGAATCCTGGGAATTTCACTGTGGTAAGGAATTGATGGTGCCTCAAAATCATCTGTGTCGCCATCTCCATAAAAAATTACTTTAATATAGTTGTAAAGAAGTGGAATCAATTGAAAGAGTTCTGATGCTATGTTAGTCCATCCGAATGTCACAACATATGCTATGAAGAATGAGGCCTGCACCAGACATGAAGTATAAATCATGAACATCTTATGCACAACATATGAAGCAGTTTCCTCACAGCATCAACAAATAATCATAAATTTTCATTTGAAGGAAATGTATTCCCTCGATATGGTGAGATCTATAGAAAATATTGCAGAATTTTGTGAGTTGTGAAACAAGTAATTGTTCTGACCTGTGCTGGTACAGCTTCAGCTAGTACTCTGGGAAACTCTTTGGGCTCAAGAAAAACCGTCAATCGATAGAAAGCTGACCCTGATAATACATTTGCAAAGAAAATGTTCCATATAGTAAACCATAATACTTTAGTGCATGCACTTTTTTGTATTTGACTCCATGATATGTATCCTTGCAAAGATGAAAGCATAATCATAATAGGTGGCACAACAGACAGAAACATCTGAAGAATCAGAATGGGAAGGTATCCTGTTATAACTTGGCTGACAACTGCCCTGCAACAAGCAAACACAGGAAGCTCTACTTTAGTTGCCATTCCACACTGTTACTGTTTCTCATCCAAAAGTATAACATTGCTGCAACTTACAAGCCGTCAAAGTGGATTCAAAATTCTTAAAATTACATAATACATCTAATTCTGCAACTCGGTACACCCACCAATACTGGTTCACCAAATCTACCTATCTAATCCAATTAGCCTGCATATGTTCTATATTCTATCTCATAAAAACTGCACAAGTAGGAGAAATTAGAAGTACACAGCACAAAAATGAAAATAAGAAATGTATCATTTTCATTTTCCTGTATAAAACAAGAAAATATAGTTGATGGAAAAAGAAAAAGAATCAAAGAGAGGGAGAGGAATTAGATAACTTCCTTTCCAAGTCAGAGAAAATAATGAAAAACAAAAAAAAAACGCAATAACTCAATACTAGTCAAGCCAACTAACAAAATGCAACCAAAAGCTATGAACAAAATGTAACCCTTCTGAGTATCATTTGAAGACCCTCAATTGAAAAACACACAGAAAAGAATCAAGAGGATAGAAAATCAAGTCTTTCCCAAAGATGTGTTCTTAAATTGGGCCAAAAATAATTCCCATTTCTCATGTAATGCAATGCACAAACGTTTATAGATTTGATCTGATTATCTAGTGAGCGTAAGTAGGGAAAGGAAAAGTTTAATGGGTAACATTTCCTACTTACATTCTCAATATGTTTTTCAGAGCAGGGAACATGGTTTCCAACTGATCAAGATGGGTAAGACCTTGTACTATTGCAACTGGGATCAAAAAGAGAAAAGTAATAGAAGTACAGGCAACAAAAACTACCACCTTGCCGATCCATCTTTTGAGGAATGAAACGGTAAAGAAAGGCCAATAAACATCTTGAGGCTCTGGAGCTTGCTCAGTAATCCAGTGTGTGGGGTTGACACTTTCTTGAATGTTTAGAGCTATTGCAGCACCAAATCGTGACTTAAATGTGACAAAGGCAGCTGGAACTTCCTTTTAAATTGAAAATAGTTGTTAAACAAGTGCATATATTATATATTCAATTTAACCATGAAACACTATATCTACTGCTGGATAGAATATTCATATACAAAAGCTTTTCACAAAGGATATCTACTACTCAACCAATAAGTTAAGGAGAAATCCAAGGTTAATCAAAATCAAAACAAAACCTGATTACATGAATCACATGACTGATCTATTTTTACAGGTCTGAGCTTGGCGTTGAGTAATAAATGGGTACATTAAGTCTTATTTGCAATAAAACAAAGAAAAATTCAGTTCGGCATGTGGTTGAGAGTATTGGAATACATTGTTCCATGCCCAAAACAAATGCATCTTTAATTCTTCTCTTTGGTTTTCTACTTTCTTCTAGAAAACTTTGTGCTAAATGATTTATTTACTCAGTTGACTCAACTTCTCCCTATATGATGCTAGTTTCTCACACTCCTTTGATTTTAATTCCGTCCACATTACTTTTTTTTTTGAGATTTTACTAGTTAAGAGAGACTAAATCTTAAGGTAGATATTAAACAACCCTTGTGGAAAAAGATTATCACTTTAGTCCTGAAGGTTATTAGTAGACGTGATAGATAAATTTACCTTTCCTGCCAACGAACACTGTTCTATTCTCACATTATCCGCAATGTCTCCTAATGTCTTTTCATAATGATCTAACATATCAACTTTATGGCCAAAAAGTCCCAAACATCCATCACGCCTTTGCCGTTGAGGAGTGTTGTCTTTATTCTTCAGGTGGGTAAGCCTTTTGTACAGTCTCTCTGCATCTGTCTGTGAGGAATATAGTTTAATCAGAAGAGTATAATACAGACCTATAGGCAATATTAAAAAAAATAATTGAAGTTAGATACAACTATACATTTCTAAGAGCATACACACTTTGGTTGCCTATTCCAATTGAAGATCTCTAAGAAGTTCAAAACTTTACAGTAAAAAATATTTAAATCCAAACCCACCACCATCCCTCTGCCTCCAAAAAGAGAGAATTTTTGGCCTATATGTGGCTTTGAACTCATTGGTGTTCACAAGAAGTTTAAAATGGTATGAACTCACTAGCTGTTCTTTTTATCTGTTTTTTCTGTTCTATTGTTTTATTTTAGTAGGAACGTTCCTTATTTCCTACCATCATATTTCTTTTCTCTTAACGGATTGTAGATATTGAGAATACATATATAGGATCAAGAATTTGAGGCACTATAACCTATGTAGTACGGATACTAACATGGACATTGGACACAGACACTTTGACATAACACGCCGATATGTGTCGGACACGGGGTGGTGCATCCGAGCTTCATCGACTATAACAGAAAACTAAAAAAAGGAAAAATTCAGCAAATGTCAAGAGAAAATATTTAAACCAACTAAAACTCGATGAAACTGCTTACAATTAGAATTTGAAGTTTACTGCTTCTACGAACAACCTCATGTGAATGATAAGTAGAAGGATGATATTCCTGGAAGAACTGCTCAACAATATCGGTGCAATTGCTTCCAACTGGAACAGGAATACCTCTTACTAATATAGTAAAGTGATGAGGCTCATGCTTGGATGAATAGAAACAAGCAATTCTTTTTGATGAAATATACTCATACTCCTGAATATGGGAAAAGCATCAAACACGAAATTCAATCACTATCTTTTGTCATTTAGCGAAACTGGAAAAATCTTGTGAATTTACAAAACAATTTGAACAAAAACTACTTACATAATAGAGAAGAATGCAGACAACTCCAGTGAAGACATATGCGGCACAAAAGTGGATCCATAACCTTGCGAAAGGCCAAATCTAGCGATCAGAGTTACCATGTTATGATATAGATAAAAAGTCATTAACACTCGTGAGGAAATCTTTTCATTCTCACAAATGGTGTAATTACAACAAACAAATAGATTTTTGTCCTAAGTGCTAGGATGGACTTGCATATTTTGGGAAGAAAAATGGTAATTAAAATCCAAAACTAGCCAATATAAATGCATGACAGTTTGTAAATCAGTCGTGATCAGAACTTCCTCTTCCATTCATACAAGGAACATAGTAATAAGATAGAGATTTGAAACCACAATGGTATACCTTTAATGAAGAAATGAAAAAGGGAATGAGAGGCTAACTACTGAATGCAGCCAGCAATGTCGTTCAATAACATAAAAATATGCACAGAAATGGAGAGGTGAACCATCTAGTAATATGTCATAATACTACATGATAAAAGCTTTAAAATGTAATAAGGATGACACTGACATACCTAGAAGTTTTCCCCTTCCAGCGTTTAGTCATAATATGAATGGATCAATCCCAATTTCTTATAAAGATTTCTTTCTAACACTTTATAGCTAAAACAAATTTAATAAATAAATAATCAAGGCCCAAATTAGAGGAGAAAAGCATCTTGATCAATAATATTCACCTGTTTGAACCATTGTTAACATTAGAAATGCTGAAGGAATCCAAAGACTTGTTTTGAAAATCAGAGTTATCACGAAGCTGACTCCCCATACAATTAATTGGCAGAAGAATGAGTAGCCCCACAATTCCACCAAAAGTAAATATTTTAAAACTGCACAATATACGAAGAGGAAAAACATTAGTAAGCAAAAAAAAGTGATCCCTTGAAAAAAAAAACAGCATGGTGACAGAAAATTGAAACACCAATATATATTTTAAGGAAATGTTGATATAAAAGTAGTCAGAGACACAATGATCACTAATAAAATTTAGTCTGAGTTAACTAATGAATACACATTTGAATCAAATTTACTACAACAATGGGAATCCAGTTCAGATGCAGAAACCACATATACATATTTTTACCTTTATGTATAATCATAGATAAGTTACACTCATGATGTAGGAATGTCCATCAAAATTAGTGAAAGAGGCTTCATTAGCCAATATAATGAGTTTTAACACAATGACATGATAGTTCTTTAAATCTAGAATCCATTGAATAATTTAAATCACCTGAAGACAAATATGCGCATAAAGACAAAAGCGTTTAAGCCTGCAGTTGATAAAAATTCTTCTTCAGAGGTCTCCCAGGCATTTCTCACCCAATCAGTAGAAGCTAATAAACGTTCCAAGTTAGATTGACCACCCTCTTCACGTTTTCTTTCAGAAACTAAGCGTGGAGCATAGACGATAAGATTACAAGGTTGTTTTCTCAATATAGAGTAGAGGGTGAAAAATATAAAACATAGCCCAAGGTTAATTCCAACTGAAGTTAGAAGAGCAGAAAGAATCATTATTGAAATCTGCTTCAAAACCAGCAGATCAACTCTGTGCAACTGACAACACAACAGCAGTCCTGACTCCTGAAATCAAATAAATGGAACTCTCAATAGTCTCTTTGAACAAATCCAATCTGGCAAAGTGAAATACAGGAGGACAAAATCACCTCAAAAAATAAGCACAAAAGAAAAACTTTCACTTAGAAAAAAATTTAAGAAAATTGGCCATTCAAATGCACTATGAACTGGAGGATATTGAGCTTTCCACACAAAACTCGGTGATCGGAAATATTCTTAGCACAATGTATATAATTTTGCCTTTCAGTAAATCTAGAATGGCTGTCGTTAAGAAGCTGACATTCTCAGTCTTCGTATGTTATACATTGAGGATAAATAAAGTGCATTTTCTTTCTGCTGTCAACACTTAGATAGTGGAAAACGTTATGATGGTATAGCTGAAGTTTTGGACTTTCAAAAGTTAAGTATTATATAGCCTTGATGTTTATACTAATGTTTGGTGATCTCATGTAAGCTAATTATGCAAGGTCAAAATAGAGTGTATAAGTGGAGGGAAACCTTCTCCTCTACTCAAATTCAACTAATATTCTTATATTGTTTCAGCCAGTAAAAACAACATCACAATAACACAACCATAACAACAACAATATTAACATAAACTCAATGTCTCAAGGTTTTGGATCACACACACACACATATATATATATATATATATATACACACCGCCAATGCAATGGACTGGTTAATAAACTTTACTGGTATCTTGCACACAATCGTAAGTTGAAAATCTAGAAACAAAAACTTGAGACATTCTAAGTCTACGCAAACACAGTGAGCATTATAGGTTACCTTGCCCCAAGAAGAAAGTTTATCATTTCACAAACCCCAAGCGCTCCATTAAGGCTAGAAATCTTTGTCAAATGCAGTCTTAAAAACTTTCTATCAGTTTACGCGTCAATTAATTCAACATGAAGGTAGAACAGTATGTGGTTGATACAAGATAGGGGCTTCAGATTTCAAAGGGTCTGTTAGATATATTAAAGTATTACAAAACAGATCTACATCAAAAACATCTTTTTGTACAATTTCTAACAGGACTTCCTATAACGATACATCATGCAAGGATATGTTGCTTTACAAATTTTTGTTAGATATGATAACCAATTAGGTAAATTTCACAATAAAACAAAGATATTATATAATATATAGCCCAAATGATAGAAATTAAAGAGTTTGTGGAAAGAGAGAAACCTGGCTAGGAAGCAAAAAGAGAGAAGCATCACTGAGTACAGTTGCGGGAAAGATTCATGATAAAAAAATTCATGATACAAATGCAAGGAAGGAATTTGTGTGTATGTGAATATGAACAACAACAGCAACAATATGGTACCCAAAGAAAAACAAAATAAACTACCGATCAAGTTTGTTCTCCCGCCTTTTTTGGTGGCCAACATGAAACTCTACGTACATCCACGTGTCAATGCCTGGTTTGTTTGTTTCTGTTGGTTTCATGTATTTTTCTTGAACCCAAATGAGCATTGTTTCGATGCCTTTGAGATTGCGTGTTCACGAGGAAATGCGAAAGTTCCTTAAAGCCATGTTAGTGGACAATAGTGTTTTTGGAATAAGTTTAATATAAATTTTAATTATCTTGTTTTTAGTACATTTTAAATGCCAATTTAGACTAAATCTACTAGTTACATCTTGCACTCTTTGGGACCTCAATGGATATAATGCTATGATAATCTATAATGTCATATGGAATGCATATGTTAATCCTAAAGCAAGTTTATATTACTCCAAAAATATATTCTTTTGAAAATATGTGGATTTAAAAAAAATAGTAATAAATGAGATTTAAAATACATGAAATATACATAGATTCATACTTTGAGAAATTATTCTAGGAACAAGTTGAATGTGATATTTAAGATTATACCGTCACTTCCTACAAATTTGTATGTATAATATTCAAAGAAGCCAGTTGAAGTGTAAAATTAATTTACCATAATATCCAGTTGATAAATAACTAAGTTTCTTCAAAATAGTTTGATTATTATTAGCTACGTGCATTTAAGGATTTTTGCTAAGACAAAAAATATATTTTAATTTGTTACATATTTAAAGAAATTAACCTTTAATTATATTTTTTTTTCTTAATTAACATTTTGGTCCTATTTGTGAGGTTTATTAAATGTGATTTGTTTTTTCAATTCAGTTCTTATTTTATTTTAAAGAATTTAAGGTGGTTCTTCTATTTTTTTTTCTTTTTTTTTTCTTCTTTCAGTTTTCTCCATCATTCACCTCTCTTTTCTTCTTTCTCCTTCTCTTAAGGTTTCTTTAAGATTTTTCTCTTCTCCTTTCTCTCTATCGGGCAAGTGTATGTTTGTTTGTAAATAAAATAGAAATAGAGTTAAAAAAATAATAATTAAGAGTCATAATAATAAAAAATATTAATTATGCTTAATCCTTTTATGAAAAAAGAAAACATGTAAATTGATTCTAGGACGATAATGTAGGAACAACTCCCACGATTGATTATTATAAATATCAGTTGTTTATTTAAAGTTTTACAAAAGATGACATGAAAATTCTCTCCAAAGCATAACCACTCTCTTTAAGTCAAGATATGGTTGAAATAATAATACTTTAATATTCAACAACAACAGTAATAATTTAACAATAAATATGAATAATAAACCCATCAACTTGGTGTCACACAGATGTCATACCATGACACATGTTATCTACACAAGTGTCCACGTAAACAATCCACGTCAGCCCCCACACAAAATACATGCAGAGCTGCCACGTCATCATCGTCCTCTTCCCCTACATAAATAACCTTCTTCTTTTGTCATAAACCAAGACTCTGTTCCTTATTTTTGCGACATTTTCGACACAAATTTCAGTTAACCTCTGCATGCATCCTCAATATCTTGTTCAGTCTAGTTAAGTAATTATTAGTTTTTTTTTTTTACAGGAGGGTATCAGAAGGTTCTGAATTCTGCTTTTGTTTTCCAAATTGGAAAATTTTGGATAACACTGAAATTTGATTGTTGTTGAAGACAATGAATGGTGAGTTTGAGGGGTACGAGCGCAAATACTGCCACCTTTCTGCAAAACTATCAAAAGCATGCGTTGAAGCTGCTGCTATTAATGGAGGTACTCAAGATTGCTTTTCATCTTTGCTACTTTGATTACGTATTGTCAAAGTACAATCTCTGTATCTGTCGGCATGATATTTTCAAATTCAACTCAAATTTAAGTAATTGACTTTAGAGAAAATTAAATTACAAATATATTTAATTTGTGGATCAGTTTTTGGTAAAGATTTCTATTAGTGTGCTTTAACTATTATGATGAGTAAAAAAAAGTGATTATTTAAGTATGATATCAATCTGAGTCTTGTAAGATGAAGAAAAAGAGATCTCCATTAAAGATCCACAGTTAATCTCTTTGATGGAAGAAGTTTCATTGAAAAATGAAACCACACTTCACTCACTTAAGAGATAATAAAAATCAAAGAAGGTTCCACATTCTAACATATGAAGTCTTAAAATTAATCATTTTGTCTCTTTCACTGCACTTATAATCTTGCTTTTGGATAATATATCTTCCTGCTGACTTGGATGGTAGCATTATCTTCAAGTCTTTCACCTTAGATTTGTTAAATGTTTATTTTCTTAAATTGGTGCTTATGATGTGTTAAAAAGTCATTCACGTTATATACACACACATATACATATTATATAATAGAGATTTTTTAAATTTGTATATTTCTGTTCAATTTGCAGAGCTAAAGAAACAAAAAGTTTCAGAAATAAAGGAGGGAATTGAGGAGGCAGAAGTTATGGTTGGTAAAGCTTTTTATTTTTTTGGTTGGTAAAGCTTCTTTTATTTCCTCTGTATTCTGGCTTTCTGATGTGTGGGTGCTTGTGAATTTGTAGATTCGAAAAATGGACCTTGAGGCAAGAAGTTTCCAGTCAGACTTTAAGGCTGTGCTTCTTCCTAAGGTGAGGGAGTACAAAGCAGATCTAAACTACATAAAAAGAGAAATGAAGAAAATTGTATCTGGTGTGATAAACCCTTCTGCACGGGATGAGTTGTTAGAATCGAACATGGCAAATGTTATGAAGGTATATTCTTAAGTTAACATCTTTTACTGATGTTAAAGGGCAATCCACTGTCCTGTTTAACCAAGGCAACAATTCGGTCCTCCTTATCCTTAGTGGTTACATCAATTTTTTTTTGTCATCTTTACAGAAAAAATGGTGATATTTTCAGTCCTTGAGTGGAACTGGAAAATAACATTTTAACTGGTTGATAAGTGATAGTAGATGTTGTGATTGATTAAAGGGATTCAATCTGGACACTCATGTTCATTGGAAAGACGCCGCGAATCTGATACTTATTGCTGCTATGATTACAATAGGCATCAGCTGATCATAGAGAAAGATTAATGACGTCAACAGAAAGGTTGAACAAGTCTAGTGACGGAATCAAGGACAGTGGAAGAACAATGTTGGAGACAGAAGATCTGGGAGTTATGATTCTTCAAGATCTGCATTCCCAGAGACAAGCTCTGCTGCATGCACATGACACGGTAACTCTCTCCTGCTTTAACTTTTTTTGTGTTTTCTTTTAGTTACAAGATGCTTTTCAATATTAACTTTCATGTAGTGGTAAATTCCTTTGGTATGCAGCATTTATTTCGGTTGTACCCTTTAGACTTTTGAGTATTGCGAGACATCGCTTGTCAGAATTTACATACTTGCCAGCTCTAATGTACACATATGTAGACTGCGTTTCAGGTCTTTTATTAACTTTCTGCACAGAGGTTTTATATTTGCACGTTAGCTACTGATGGCTATTTTCCCTCATGCAGCTTCATGGAGTGGATGATAACGTAGGCAAGAGCAAGAAAATATTGTCTAACATATCAACAATGATGAACAGGAACAAGTGGATTTTCATCACCGTTGTTGTGGTCCTGATAGTTGTTATCACCTTGATTCTGTATTTCAAGCTTTCTTAATAGCCACTACCAGACCATTACTCTTTTGATCATAGACAAAATGCATTCTCAATTTTCTATTACAAGTATATTGACACTGGTAACGTAATGAACCTAACATTAGTTGTAGAATGACACCTTTAGGAAATGAGAAACTCCACGAAAGGTGTTTCCCTTTGCTTCCTCGATTAATAAATGTGTTCTACTCCAGCTTTTTGTTTGTTACCAACAGAATTGTGAAAAATAATGAAGTTATTTCCACCAACTTTCCTATTTTACAGCTTAATAATACAACTAGACATTATTACTTTGTGCTATTTAATTTGAGCCGAACAAGTAAAATAAGATAGAACAAATTAAAAAACTATCATGTATCAACTGATTAAAACTAACTGCAAATCAAGTTAAACCTTGCTAACTCAAATAGTACTTCATCCACCCAATGTACTGACCAGATAATCTTCCGAACTCAAATAACCGTTATGTGTGCTTATTTTGAATTGATTTTGCAAAATATTTAAAAATCAACTCAATTTTAGTCCCAAGAACGAATTTCTACAATGGCAGCCACTAAATCACATCTATATTTTGGATATGTAGGACTATTCTATTTATTACACATTCATAAAAAGTTTTAATGAAGGAAATATAACCTCGTGGGAGATTTCATACGGAAAACGCATCATCTATCACGTCACAGGGATGCAAACAAGGCATATTTTCTTAAGCGAACAAACACAATATTTTATGCTTGTAAACTATGTATGGCTGTTTGGAACATTCTCATCAAGGGTTCTCACTAATGTTCATGCAGAATACGGAATTCTGAGGGCCATCCTTTGAGCAAGCCAAGGTTTCTCTGGTTCTGGATCGATGAAAGGATGAGTGACGAACTGCATAGCTTCTTCATCCAACAATTCTCTACACCATGTTACTCGCTTCGATGGACAGCAACCAGGTCCAAAACACCTACAGTTATGATAAAATTACTTCAGACTTCAACTCAGCAAGCACATTTTGCATTTAAGGCAAGTAAAAAATGTTTCCATCAGCATATTCATGGTGTCAGCATAACACATCATAATCTTTATTCAAATCAAACTCCTTAACATGAACAGTTCAGTAGCTCAGTAGGAGATTTCTACTTTATAACTGTTGCAGAATTCTAGAGCTGTTTGATACGCTGCAAAGCATAAACAATGTAAAATGGAATGTGACATGAGCTACCTGTATTCATAAAAGCAAGCACTTCTCTCGTTCTCCATGTTCCCCCAGTTATCCCAGCCAACATGTCTTATACACTGATCCATGTAAGTGTATGCAAAGACCACCCTTCCAAAAGGGCCCCACGGTCGTCCAAGATATGCATACGATTTTCCTCCATTACCCGTGATAATGCATCTGCAATGGCACCAAAGACCACTCGGGTAAAATACTTAGGAACCAAATTTTACTTGTGTGTGGGTGTGTATGTTTGAACAGTAACCAATAATTTTAGAAGGCTTAAAAGTGAATGCACAAGTTAGTATTGTTTGATCGTGAAGAATTTGTCAAATGGTGACTAACAAGACATCAATGACCTGTCTTTCACAAGGGTCTATCTCCTTAGGTTTAAGATTTTAAAAGGAATGGTTTAACTCATAAGGTTTAAGTTGTCCTTTTAAGCATTTTAACTCATAAGTCAGTATCATTTCTGCCTTGTTGTTTCTATAAATCTACGTAACTGCGTTCTGCTGTTAAAGGTTGGAAGTCCTTTGAGACTTGGAACTTTACTCTATGAATACTTATTATGAACTATGATATTAATATATTTCGTGTTCCCATATTTCTTTTACAATGGGTTTACAAATAAAATCATGCATGGCCAGTACTTTTTGTAAATCATTGGTTGTAGATATATGACCCTAATCCCATCACCAGATTTACCATTTCCAAAACTATTTCCCTGAGAGTAGAGCCCAGGGTCAGTGTTGTTAGTGATTAAGGATGATACAATCGTTTCATATCATTTATTCACACGTGCAAGGTAAAGATAGTACAATAAGAGAAACTCGTTCATGCTAGCTTGCCATGGGTAGAGAATGAATTCTAGTAGTTTTGTATGGAGATTAGATATTAAAATTACACTTAGATAAGAACTAACTCCTTCCTCAGTGGACAACTTAAGAACTTCAAGAGACTAAAGCACAGTGATAGGGCGTATATAAGATTGTTGAAACTGGAAAGTAATCAGTTACACACCTTAAGAATACATAACCAGTTGTTTCCTGTGATGATTTTCTGCTCTGTGCAGTTATGAAGCCCTCAGACTTGCAGTGGATATGACAATGCTCCAAAAGTGCAGTGCCATTGCCAAAGATGAAGTCCACACTTCCTTCAATGTAACAATCTTTCAAATATTGTTTACCGTAATGTAAGTACAATGTGTCCTGCACCGTAATCATTGAAGAAATTTATCCACTTGTAACTTTGATAAAATGTCACTACTAGTGAAACAGAATCGGGGGACTGAACCTAAGACCAGATAGTCTACTGATAATAGTTCCAAGTTAATTTAACATGCCTCTCTTTTCAAGACAATGAGCCAGAAAAGTAACAATCATAACTCATCCATCAAAGAAATCATTACTATAGGGTATTCAAATGTTTTTAAGAAATTCAAGATACGTGAATCACCAACACACAATGATGATATGCAGCCCGAAAACTATATAAAATGACATCAAGATATTGAAGCTACCTGCCATCCAAGGAACCTACAATTGTAGAAGGCACATCGATCCACTGTTACTCTAATTGCAACTGCTTGACCTGAACCCTATCAAAAAGAGAAGAAAAAGGAAGGAGCACTATATAAGGTCTAGCATAGTTTCTACCTAAAAATATGTATTGTCTCCATTAAACTTGTGAAGAAACAAATTGGGATATATCATATAGGTGTATAAAGCAATAATACCAGATCATCTAAAGAATCTACAACCAGATAATTGCCTACCAAAACAACTAATGTCAAAGGATCTCAATTCTCTATCTTCAGCAATAAGTAGATCCAAAAATGAAAAGCGTCAATTTACCGGTATTCTTTCTATTAAATAAAGATTATGACAGGCCATTTACATGTGTCAACATGTCAAAAATTGACAAAGGGCAGAGTGGTACAATGAAAAACCTTGAAACCAGTGAAATTTTACAATAAAAGCAATGCCATTACCTGAGGGGCAGAATTCTCAAAAGTAATATTCTCGGCAATAAAGTCCTCCCCTTCCACAATGGTACTTCCACAACCGAAGGTCCCAGTCCCTATTATCCTCGCAGGCTGCAAAAATGCCAACAGAAAAATCTGACACACACCCACTAATTCAAATGATAAAAAAAACAAAATGAACAATTTTGACTAACCCATTAGAATTGAGAAATGATCAAAACAAATTAACAATTTTGACAAACACCCAATAACCCAAACCAATGACAATATCATAAATATGAACAATTTTGACACATGCCCACAAACCCATCTGAGGAAAAAGTCGAAGAGAAGAAAAGATGCGTACTTGATGGTGATTGATTCCGGAGACAGTGTTGTTCCAGGTAAGCACAGTGTCCTCAGGGGACAGAGCAGCGAGAGTGATGAAATTCTTGGTCTTGGGGATGTACACCGGCTGCCGGTAGATTCCCGGCGAGACCCGAATCACCGTCCGGCGAATGTTGCCAAGCGGCACGGCGTCGATCGCCGCCTGCACCGTTAGGAAATCAGCGGTTCCGTCCTGTGAAACCGTGATTATGCACGCTGCCATTCTGTAGAGAGAGGGAAGAGAGATTTTTGTGACAAAGAAAACGCACGAAAGGTATCACTCACAACATCTCTCAAGATGGAATAAGAATATTGTAATGCTTCGTGTTATGTAACTGAGAAAACAAATGGAATGGTGAGTCAAAAACGAGTGAGTGAGTCAGTGAGGTGGCAACAGTTAACTCAGTTGCTGACATACTCTTATTTCATCTAATCTTTTGTCCATAGATTCCTTCCTGATTCACTTCTGGGAAGGGAACACCATTCAAGAATTAAAAATATACATACATTTTTTGTTTTCAGTTAGTCATTTTAATTTTTCAAATTAATCATTTTCCACTTTCAAATTTTCCTCACATATATTTTTTAAATTTGTTTATTTATATCCACATCTAAATTATCGTCTCCTTATTTTTCAATTTTGTTCTTTAAATATTTTTTAATTCAAATAATTATTTTATCAATTTTTTAAAGATAATTTTTGAAATTTATTACTTTTTTTAATTTATGATCTTTCAAACTTAACTATTTTTTCAATTATAAAATTACTTTCAAAAATAAATAAAAATTATAAAAATATATTTATATTAAATAGTAATAATAATAGTTTTATTTTATTATTATTAAAAAATAATACACGAATGTATTTTTACTAGTATTTATAACTGAAAACTCTTATAGAAATTTTATTATATTAATGGATTAAAATTTAATACTTATATTAGTTTCAAAATTTATACTTATCTAAATAATAGTATATGTATTATTACCATTATTACTATTTTTTTATGTGATATGTGATTTATAATTTAAGTGAAGAGAATGTTGGAAAAATAGTAGGAATAGTAGATTTTCAAGAAATGTATATATATCATGGAATAGGAATTTATATGACATTATATAGCATGGAATACGAATTTTTGTGATTTGAATCATTTAACATCTTATGGCATTGCACTGTCAATTCGATTAAGAAGCAAATGAAGAAAATACTGTGATCTATCTACCATGGCTAGAATGGTTATCATGGAGAGAGTGAGAAAGGTACAAGGATTACAGAAGTTGTATAATAATTACCCTTATTTTCTCATAAAAAACCTAACACTAAAATTTGAGTTTAATTACTCACATAGTTGAAACATATTTTACTCTTTAATTTTGAAACACACTTTACTTTTTAACATAATTTTTAATGTATCATTTACATTCTATTATACTTGATATAATCTAGATCTATAAGATAAATTTATACATAAAAATTTAAATGATAAATTTTACAAAATTATACATTCTAAATGCATAATTATAATTTAGTAGAAAAAAAAGTCTCCATTATAAAGATAAAATAGGTAAAAAAAAAACATTTACAACTTTTTTCCACTATTAATTTTGATAGAAGACTAAAATAGACTAAAATTTCTTAAATAAAATTAACAATTCAATAAATTACCCACAAACAACTAGTGTTGTTATGGAGTAACCATTTTTAATTGATGTGAGTAAATAAAGCAAATAAATTTTAACATATAACTTTTGAAAGAAAATACTAAGTACACTTAATATCGAAGTATTTAATATAAACATGGGAGGATTGTCATTGTTTAATGAATGATTGTAATTGCAATTGTTGACCTAAATTTACTTGTAAAGAAAAAATAAATACTTCTTCATTGATTTTACTCTTACCGAACTCAGAATAATACTATTGAATAACCATTTAATATAATTATATTAAGATTAATGCACACAAATTAAATAGATGGGTTTCATTTGAAAAGATGTAAAAACATTTTGAAAAGAAAAATGCTGAAGTTTTGAAACAGCAAATACATTAAAACGAAAATAGGGTGAAGTCGCAGCAGTCTTTTTTCAGTATCGTCAAAGGTTCGTTACTACTACTGTTTAAGGGTAGCCGCCCTTACGGCTTATCGCCGTTGAAGGCTCGTTGTTGTCGAAAGCTTTGTCGCATTGTACCGTCGTCGAACTGTCGGAGGCTCTACCACCATGTCGAAGGTTCGGAGTACACTTTTCCTTTAGCGAGAAGCAAAGCATATCACTCTGCCCTACGAAATTTTTCCCTTTCTCTTTCAAAAGGGATAAATAAAATTGGAAAGTACGGCTGTATTCATCTGGATAAACCGAGTGGGGTAATAATTGATTTTGTTTATAATTTTGTGGATGTTTTAATGGTTTAGGAAGATTTGATTTGATTTGCTTTTTTTATAAGGGTAAGTTGTCTAACGGATAGAGTTCTGATTGATAAAAGAGAGAGAGGTTACTTACATAAGAACATTGACGGCAACGCATGGTGGTATAGGCGGCGACGATTTAGGTTTTCTTTCAAATACTTCTTCTCGTGCTTTTAGTTTCACCGTGATGTTCTGAGAACAGTTTACTCGGGTTCCCAAATGAACACATCTTTCATCTATCATAAACTTATTCTCTACATTTCTCAATCTGGGTTAATCATCTCTCCATTACTTTTCAACCTTTTCTATATCTTTCTCTCTCTAAAAGCAATGCATTTTTTCTGATTACTTAAACATGTGGGGTTTTATTCTTGCCCCCTTATCAAGGTCTCTCCGGATTTTTTTTTCTTTTTTCTTGAGTGATTTATTTGTAATGTTACTAATTTTAAGTATTTATAGTTCTTCAATGTTGAGTGAGTTCATGGGAGAGTGGGTATGATGAGTTGACTCAATTTATCTCCTTCTAATTTAGAAACACTTTTAAAAATCTAATTATAATCCAAAAGAAATTGGATCTGAAAACGAAACATGCTTTAACAAATTCTAGAACTTTAAATTGAAAACCATCTTTGGAAGAACCAAACTGTACCTTCTTCTTCGCAGCTTCCTTAATACCAAGAACATACATAACGCTCTCATCATGTTTGCTTATCCCTTAAAAATACACCCAAAAGTATAATTCTTAAAAATATCACATAGGGTTGTTTTTACTATAAAGTTGGATAAGACCGCAAAATATTTGCTTCAACATGCAACTTTTCCCACTTTTTTTGTAACTTTTTTTCTCAATTGCTGTTGTTGGGGAATTGTAATATGCAATTTTTTGTGTGCAGAGCTTTGAAATTAAGGAAGCACTACCGGAGACAGTTGCAAGTCATGAAGGCATGTACTATAATTACTTCAGCATAGGTACTTCAATCTGTACATTAGTAGTGCTATGCAGGTGCCTTTAATGAAAATGTCTGGAGATGGTATCATGTCTATTTTAGATTTTTAATGTCTTTAGTAGTAGTTGAGATTAATCATTGAGAAAGATGTTGTATATGTTGTGTTATTTTAAAACCAAATTGCTCCTTGAATGGTATTGAATGGTATTGATGCATCTTAGGGAATATTGCAAGAACTGTGGAATCTTCCTGTTTCTTATCAAGTGTAGAATATACTTTTCTGTTTCTTATCAAATTACTAATCACTAAATTTTTCTGTATTGAATTTTGTGGAAAGTTCTTCTGCTTGATATGGTTCTTGTAAGTCTGTTGTCGTCTACAGTATGGATAGTTCTTTATAGGTTGTTTAATGTACTTGAGAGGAAGTAAAATGAGATTGATGCGATTTTTTTTTATGTTTAGGATGAGTTTTTGAGTATGTAAAGAAGTGATGTTATTCAGTGTTAGATCTGTTTTATCACTTCTGCTATGCTTTTAATTATTTTGTGTCTTTCATTGGCTTTGTTAATCTTCTTTATGAAGAAATTGGTGTTCTGATTTTGAAAGTTTTTTTGGAATGTGTGATTACAGGATTTTTATATTAGTGAAATTCATTTCAGAGATGATGAATGGGATGCCAACAAATGGGCATGGGAAGGGATACTGAAAGTTACTAGCAAGGGAGAAGAATTGGTGGGATGTTGTATTGGAGTTTTTAGTTCAATTCAGTTACTCTGAACTAGAAAATAGTTCAGTTCAGGGCAGAACTATTTTTTAGTTTAGGGTAGTTTTTTTAAACTAGTTTATAGTTAACTATAAACTTTTATAGTGGAGTGCACTATAAGGCAGTTTGCCCACCCCTACCACCACCACATGTTGTTCTTCTTTCCATGTCCATGTGGCTTCGTGTTTTCAACCTTGTCTTCAAAACCATTGACAAACCCAACCTAAGACCCTTTTCACAGCCATTTGCATCCACTGCACTCGCTCACTCCACCCCACCCTCTTTCTCCGACACCACCCCTTCCACGCCCCTTTCACACCCAACCACCCTCCAAGTCCTTCAAACCCTCCAATGTCTCCACCACCACCCCTCCCTTGCCCTCTCCTTCCTCAACCACCTCCACCGCACCGGTTTCCTGCACACCCTCTCAACCTATGCTGCCATCACCAAAATGTTCGCTTTTTGGAACCTGCCCAGAAAACTAGACTCCCTCTTTCTCCACCTCATTACCCTCTCGAAACACCACCATCTTTCCTTTCACCTCCTTCAACTCTTTGAAATACTCTTCCAGGACTTCGACCACCATAACCAGTACTTGCTGAGAGCTTTTGGTGGCTTTGTCAAAACCTGTGTCAGCCTCAACATGTTTGATGAGGCCATTGATTTTTTGTTCCAAACTCGGCGTCGCGGAATTGTCCCTGATGTTCTTACTTGCAACTTCCTCTTCAACAGGTTGGTGGAACAGGGCGAGGTCGATAAAGCACTGGCTATTTTTGAGCAACTCAAGAGGTTTGGTTTCAGACCCAATTGTTATTCCTATGCAATTGTCATCAAGGCGTTGTGTAAAAAGGGTGACTTGAGGCAAGCTTTCTGTGTTTTTGAGGAAATGGAGAGAGTCGGGATCACCCCTCATTCGTATTGCTATGCTGCTTACATTGAAGGGTTTTGTAATAAACATAGGTCTGATTTGGGGTATGAGGTGCTGCAAGCATTTAGAAAGAGTAATGCCCCTTTGGAGGTTTATGCATACACTGCGGTTGTTCGCGGGTTTTGTAATGAGATGAAGTTGGATGAGGCTCAGGGTGTGTTTGATGACATGGAGAGGCAAGGGTTGGTTCCTGATGTGTTTGTTTATTCTGCGTTGATTCAAGGGTATTGTAAGGGTCATAATCTGCTCAAGGCTTTGGCTTTGCATGATGAGATGATTTCGAGGGGTGTGAAGACGAATTGTGTTATTGTTAGTTACATTCTGCATTGTTTGGGAAAGATGGGCATGACTTTGGAGGTGGTGGATCAGTTTAAGGAACTAAAGGAGTCCGGGATGTTTCTTGATGGGGTTGCCTACAACATTGTTTTTGATGCTTTGTTTAAGTTAGGGAAGGTGGAGGATGCGATAGAGATGTCGGAAGACATGAAGAGAAGGGGTGTGGCTTTAGATCTTAAGCACTACACAACGTTTATCAAGGGATACTGTCTTCAGGGTGATCTCGTTAGTGGGTATAGGGTGTTTAAGGAAATGAGTGATGAGGGTTTCAAACCTGATATTATAACATATAATGTACTGGCAACTGGGCTGCTTAAAAATGGTCGTGCTTGTGAGGCATTAAAGCTTTTGGATTGTTTGGAGAGTCAAGGCGTGAAGCCAAACTCTACTACACATAAGTTAATCATTGAAATTTTGTGTTCAGTGGGAAAGGTTTTGGAAGCCGAGGTGTATTTTAACAGTCTAGAAGATAAGAGTATTGAAATCTATTCTGCCATGGTTAATGGCTATTGTGAAGCGGACATTGTAAAAAAAGCCTATGAAATTTTCCTTAAGCTGTCAAACCAAGGAGATATGGCTAACAATGCCTCCTGTTCTAAGCTAATTACTAAACTCTGTATGACAGG